TAGTGGCATATCTTGAGACGTGTTGACTTTTGAGTTTGCGTGTGGAACCTTGTCCTCCAGTTCCTAGGGTTGCCCCCACGTGCAATTTGCTGTAGCCCCTGGATGGCCATAAACACGTGATTCTGTAACAACGTTCCCCAAATGTCGCCTACTTGCATAATCTTTGCCACATACCACCTATACTGTTTACTTACTATTTTTCTTTGAATTGAATCACTTTTTCTCCACTTTCTGAAAATGGAGCTTCACGGTAAGCTACAGTGTCCAAGAAACCAATTTTCCTATAATATACTTTAATGCCTATTAAAATAAATAAAAATTGCAGGGCGTTTTAGGATTAACTGGAAGGGTTGCTTCCCAGTCATCTCTAGGTAGAAATTAATTAATTAGTTTAGGTACTAAAAAAACAGGAGATGTTATTTAAAAGAATCAAGACGGGGATTGGGAGCAACACACTTTCATGAGAAGGAGGGGGCGGCCCGATGAGTGTGAGTGCTGTGATGATGCGTATGAGGTATCTGACACACGGTAAGCCCGTGACAGATGTCAGTGTCTTAGCCCTTCCACCATCCGTCATCTCCTGTGCCCTCCTTTCAACACAAATGGAAAATCCTTTTGTTGTTCCCTAAAACATGTACACCGCGTGTGCACATGCTGCACACACGTGAGGGTAGGGTGCAAGGCCTGTGCTTTGGGGCCTGTTATCAGAAGCAATGGCCCTGTGTAGAGGTGGCTGGTGGGGCCCTCAGTCCCAGAGTCCTTCCTTGCCTATGCAGTCAGAGATCTCCTCCTGAAACTGCCCATCTACAGAGGGATCTCTGGAGACATGTCACATCTCCTGGTGCCAAGGAGTTGTTGATGCTGGCCAGCCGCTGGGCCACAGGAGCGATGGAGAAGGGTCTCAGAGGGCCCGTGAGGCTCCGTGCGCTGGGAGGCAGCTCCAGGCTGCCTGGCTATTCTTTTGTGCTGTGTATTTTACTGGCCTCAGATAAGCACTTCCTGTTCCCCATTGATTATACACAGATCCTGCTTCCTTTCCCCTCAATACCTGGGATGCTTTCCAGCTTCTCCTCCCACAAGGGGAAATCCATAAACTTCAGAATTCTAAGGGCTACTTTTGGTCAATGGACTTTCTGCAAATCATGACTGTTTTTGCTGTCCAGTCACATTCTTTGGGGAGCCTTCATCTCTGTTGAGGAACTCAGTTCTTCATGTGCCAGCTGGGAGAGAGATGTTCCTGCAGCCTGGTTTCTGCTCCTCCTTCTCACCAATAGAATATCTGTGTCTACCTGGTGTGCCAATAGAATATCTGTGTCTACCTTCAGGCTTAACTCAGAGACAATAAATAAATAGACTGTGTCTCACAGATCAATTTTAATCCACAGTTAGTAGCTGCCTGGTGTACTGTTGAGGATTCTGAGGTCTTACCCAACATTAGTAGGAAAGAGTGCCATCTCTATTAGCAGCGTCTGCCACGGGCACAGAGAGGGATGTGTGGCAGCCCCTGTGCCCCGTATTTGCTTTCCCAAGAATTCCAAGATCAGATTAAAGCTTCTAGAAGGTAAAAATCTTGTCCTTGTAAACTTTGAGTTATACCATAAAGTCCAAAGCCCTGTATTCTAGTGCTAACATCAGTTATTTTGGTGATCTTGGGTAAATCCAAGAGCTTCCAGCAAGCCCAGTTTCCCCACTTTTAAAATTAGGATGATAATACCTGCTTTATCCACATCCAAGGGTCATTTAAATCAAATCACATAATATAAAATGCTTTAAAAAGTAAAATGACTGTAGAAGTACACGGGGTCTTCAAAAAGTTCATGGAAGGATTCATATTATCTTTTAATTCAATTTTTTCATGAACTTTTTAAATACCCTCATATGTCTTCCTTGCTCGTGACCCAGCTCAGGTGCCACCTCCTACGTGAAGTCTTCCAGTTTTTCCATGATACCCCCTGCCCACTGTGCTCCCTCTTGTCTCTGAACCTGTCATTTGCAGACAAATATTCTAGCTGTTTATGTACTTAAAAAAAAACTCTCCTGTGGTGTGTCACGTGCGTAAACAGCCACCTTATCTACGAGGTGCTCACTAGACATTTATGGAGTGCTCTGTACAGACCTGTCACTACATCTTGACCAGTGGGTGGGCAGTTCTGTAAGAATGGGCAGTCTCCTGCTAGCTTTAGTGTAGTTTTATAGAAAGATGTTTGCAGGGACAAGTGAAGGGTAAACTGGGAGAGATGAGCTGGGGACAGAAGCCATGGGTGACACTGTGGAGAAAGGATTTGGGGACCCCTTAATTTCCATCTACCACCCTGTACTTTGATATGGACAACAGACATTTTGTCAATCTGAGGCAAAGCGACCTGCCAATGCAGTTTGCGGGCCACCACCAACCCCTTCAGCCTAAGTTGCCACCCCCGAGTTCCTCCTGGATAGTCTGCAGGAGACCAGACGCAGGCAAGAAGGCTACTGCAAGGCCCCAGCCACGAAGAGGCAAGGCCTGGATTCCAGAAATGTCTAGAACCCGCGGAACTTGCTGGCCAACAGGAGGTGGGGGGGGGGGAAGCAACTAAAGACATTAAAGTGGATTTTGAGGTTTGTGGTTGGGTAAACTGAAGGCACAGGTTTGGGGATGAAAGTAATTAATGTAGGGTTACTTTTTTTTTTTTTTTTCTTTTTTTTGTCTTTTTTTCGTGTCCGGCAATGGATCGCAACCCTCAGTGTCACGCCCATACCAGACTGGGACCAGCAATGGGATCGCAACCCTCGGTGTTGCGCCCGCGCCTCGCTCAGCCAGTGAGCAGGAACCGGTCTGTATGTGGGATCCGAACCCTCGATGGGAGCGCCACTGCGCTCCCAAGCGGCGCACTGTAGCAGTGCGCCACCGGGCCGGCCCTAGGGTTACTTTTAATAGCTTTGCTTACTGTTGCTACAATATAATATGTGGTCATTCTAAAATTTTCAAGTGAAGAAGAAAAGTACAAGCAAGAAACTAATAAAATTGCCTGAAATGCTAAAACCCAATGATAACATTTCGGTGATCATCCTTCCAGATTCTGTAACTGGCTCTTCTTGCTGAACAGTTTGTCCAAGACATTTATTCAGGTCCGTAAATGTGGATCAACCAGAGGGCACACAGAACTTGAAACCACAACCCATACCAGACTGGGACCGGCAACGGGATCGCAACCCTCGGTGTTGTGCCCGCGCCTCGCTCAGCCAGTGAGCAGGAAACGGTCTGTATGTGGGATCCGAACCCTCGATGGGAGCGCCACTGCGCTCCCAAGCGGCGCACTGTAGCAGTGCGCCACCGGGCCAGCCCTAGGGTTACTTTTAATAGCTTTGCTTACTGTTGCTACAATATAATATGTGGTCATTCTAAAAATTTCAAGTGAAGAAGAAAAGTACAAGCAAGAAACTAATAAAATTGCCTGAAATGCTAAAACCCAATGATAACATTTTGGTGATCATCCTTCCAGATTCTGTAACTGGCTCTTCTTGCTGAACAGTTTGTCCGAGACATTTATTCAGGTCCGTAAATGTGGATCAACCAGAGGGCACACAGAACTTGAAACCACAGGGGAGGAGAGGGCTCCAGGCAGGAGGTGGCTGCCCCAGAGATGCCCAATAAGCTCGGGCCTATGAGATGCCCCTGGCATGGGGCATCTAAAAAGCCAATTACCTTTTTTTTTTTTTTTTCTAATGTTGTTGATGGCCTTGCAGAGACAGACTGTCCACAGAGACAGTAGAGGGACTGGAACAGAAGCCAGCCTGTTGAGTGCTGAAGAACGACTGGAAGACAGAGAGGCAGTGGAAGCGGCCTGTGTAGGTCCTGGGAGGGATGGAGGGAGGACGGGAAAGTGTGGCCGCCTATCAGCTGCCTGTTCAGCCAACCGCTGCCCTCCCCCTTGTCCCCCTCCCCCCTTACACACCCCGAAGACTGAGCCCCCAGCTCCTATCAGATCTCCCCTCTTCCACCTGAGTGAAGGTCAAATGCAGTAGAGGCTGCACAATCCTTTGTCACTTGTGAGGAGCCACCCTATAGCTCCTGGCTACAGAAATGAGAACCTGAAACAGGTTGAACTTTGACTTTTTTTCGAAAGCCCAGATCTCTGTCCCAGAGGTCCCCTTGGTCAGGGTCACCACAGAGTGGCCAGGCCCAGTGTTCTGGGAGCAAGGCTTTTCCCTACTTCCGAAAGGAGCACGCAGCTGCCAGGAAGTTGTACCTGGCCATGTGTCCAGCACTCCATCCGGACCTTGGGCTCACAGCTGAGGACCATGCGTGCCAGCTCTCCCGCCACCTGTGAGCGGAGCCAGCCATCCCAGCAAGCCAGGGCAGACGAGAGGGCCCTCAGCTCCTGCCACAGGCAGTGGTGTGCAGAGTCAGCTGGTACCCAGCCCACGTTAGCATCTCTTCCTAGCTCTGCCTTCAGTGACTCACCATAGTGCCTTGATGTCAGCCATGGTGGGGGTGTGTACTCCATGGATACCAGCAGATGCTACAGACCAGGACTTGGTGTTTGGTTTGTGCTTAAAGAGCCAGTTGTTAAGCATCTGCCAGCACGCCACGGAATAGGAGTGCTCTCCCCATGAAGTGCCGTGGGTGAGTGAGTGGCCGAACTCTGTGTTCATGAGCTCTTCCCTGCCCCTGGGTAAAGTGCAGGTAGTGGGCTCACTGAATAAAAATAACTTTGAAAGTTAGCGACTAAACGTGGATTTCTTAGGAGCTCACTGCACACCCAGCACTCTGCTTGATACTCTCCAGTGTGACTGCACTTGGGATCATCACCCTGCCTTGTAGTAGGTGTTCTGATTTCCCTTTTCCAAGTGAACAACCAGAGAGGTTCTGAGAGGTGAGGTAACGTCCTCTGGGACACATCTTCTAAGTGGGGTTCAACTAGGACGCCTGGCTCCATATTTATTGAGCACCTCAGTGTCCACTCCCAGAACCTGCTGTGGTTTAGACAAACAGCTGTGTTTGATTTTTTTTTCTTCCATAGGAGGCCATCTGGTCCAGGCCCTGCCTTCAGGCTGATGAAGTCAAATATCCCCATTTTAAAGGTGAGAAGATTGAGGCCAGAGAGGTTAGAAAGAGCCTGGAACCCTGGTCTTTTGCCTCCTGTGCTGTATTCTTCCACTATGAAAAATTGGCCTTGGGGGAGCCAGTTTTTAAAAACAAACCTTTGGTCAAGTCTGGTAGGCAAAATTGCCAGATTTTCTGGAATGGGAGGGGAAGACTGTAGTTTGAGGACATCCAGAAAAGAAAAGGAATTATTTGGGGAAAGCAGGGAAATAGATGTTTATGGGGAAACTGAGACCTAACCAACCCACTCTTATTTTTGAGTTTACTATTCAGTCGTGAAATATTTCTGGAGCCCCTGTGCTGCCCAGGGGCTCTCCAAAAATATTTGTTGACTAAATGCTGTGATAGGTGCTAGAGAGAAAAAAGTCACTTCATTGGTTTAAAACACTACAAAAATGTGGTTCTAAATAACTTTTCCACGGAAAATTATGTCTGTCATATGAAATTGAAAAGTAGCTTATTTGAGGGCATTATGTTTTTATTAATTGAATTTATTTGTACTGATCCACCTATTAACAAAACCCCAAGAAGGAACCTAACCCTTTACACTCAGGGAAAACAAAGAGATCGTATCTGGGATTTAGTGCCATCCACAAAGCTAAGCAGATGCATAAACTACTCATTTTTAGAAAAGAAAATAAGAGATAAGAGTGTAAGTCTTATCTTTCATACTTTGGCTCCTGGAACTTTGTCTAATCCATCTTCTTTGGGAACCAGTTCTCTTTAATATTTTCATTTTCTCTTTTTCAGTGACTTCTGAAAACTTAAAATTTTTTCCCACACGAGAAAGCTTTTCTGTCTCCGCACTGCTGAGTGAATGTTAGTGTATTTTCAAACTTGGAGTAATTTATGTCCATTTCTACAGAAGATAGAGGATCTTACACAGGCCTCCAGGCACTGGCAGGGTTGGCATCACAGCCTCCATTTGCAGATTCTCAGCAGTACTAAGCCAGTTATTGGGAGAACCAGTCACTTGGGAGTGCAGGGGGCTCCATCTGTGCGTTCCACATCCATCTCTAAAGGAGTCAGGGAGAGGCTGGACAACCCCATGTTACAGATGCGGAGAAGGGGCTCAAGCTCACTGTTAGTGCTAGGTGGGACAGCGTTTTAACGCTTGATGATTGCTGGCTTCTGGACCAGGAATTGGGGTGTGGGTATGACCCTTGAGGAGCTCACAGCCCCAAGGGCAGAGTATGCAAGTGGGTGACAATACCACTGTGTGGTGAGTGCCATGGGAGGCCATGCACAGCATGACTGCTGTCGTCCTGGGAGGAAAAGATACCCCAGTCAGGACCAGCAGATGGATATGGCACGTTCTGAGTACGAAGCTTAGTGCAGCGGGTGTCGGGGAGCGGTGAGGGTCCAAGCCAGAAGGACAGGTTGGTGCTGGATTGCTGGTGAACCAGGGACGGGTGTTAAGCGGGGAAGAGATCTGATTGGTTGGGTTTTGGAAGGCCAAGTTGTAGGTGTTTGGAAGGCCATTGCAGTAATGCAGGTGAGAAGCGATGCGTTTCCCAGCTGTGGCAGAAGGGAGAGTAAGGAAAGACTCATAGTCTCTTCACATTTTTCATTTATCATCCAATTCTTCATGTTAAGAGTAGCCTTTAAAAGCAAGAGGAGACATTCCGAACACTGTCATCACTGTGGTGGAAGCCATCTGCCCGCGGGGTTTGGGTTGTGCCTGGTTTTCCTGGGTGGCAGTGCCCACTGTACATCTGAGAAGGAAGTGTGAAAAATCCTCACTTCTTTGTTAAAAGGGACTCTGGCTCTGGGTCCTCAGAGTCACTATTTACCACGGGGGACCAAAGAGACAGGAAAGACCAGCCATGTAAACTGGGAGCCTGGGCTTCTGCAACAGATGCACAAAAACGGGTGAGACTGGGAAGCTAAAGCAAAGGGCTCTTTGTCTGCACGCCAGGCCTGTCCTGTAGAAGCAGCAGGGTTGTTCTGTGGCCTCGAGTTTTCTCACCCGGGAAGTTTGGGAGATGACTTATTTTCCTTGCTTGTGCGCCCCTGTGGATTCTGTAACATGAAGCTTTGTTTCCTCTCTTGCCTGGGCCGTGCTTAAAGGTTTTCTGTGAGAACATGGGAACAGGGAGAATGTGGGCGTTCCCCAGGGTCCTGTAGAGTCCTGTCCACACAAAGCTGGTGTGGGACAGCTTGGGTATGGCTGGGGCAGGGGCCCTTCCTACCTTCTGGGAGCCTGAGGGTTAATCTCCGTAGCTCATTGGCAGTTCTGCCTCTGCACGGGGCATGCTGGGATTTCCTCCCAGCTGTTTTACATCACGAAGATTTGTGTGTTGGGGAAATTCCAGGGCACAGCTGCAATTAATCTGCTGCATGGTCTCCAAGTGAAGCAGGGATTCTGTAGGGTGGATTCTCCGCCTCCCTGCAGGAAAAGGGGCTCTAGCTCTCTAGTAAGAACATCCTTCAGAGGGACCCTTCCCTAGGCCCAACTCCAGCAGAAACAGCCCACCTGACCAAGGGCTTGCTCCAAAGAGGTCTCCCGGGAGGGGTCCACAAAGTGGAAAAGGACCCAGAACATTAAGAAAAATAGGAGTAGCACCTCTCTAAATTAATAAAGCCCAAATAACACTTATAGCAACACTTGATAAAGATGTCACACACAAAAAAGAAGATTTTTGTTCATCCTTACTTAGGAATGTAGAAGTAAAAATTTTTGAACACTCATGATTAGCATTCCATGATACAGAACAAGAAAAAACAAACCACCATGACCAGATAGGGTTTACCTGGGGAGTGCAGAGGTGCCTTAGTGTAAGAAAATCTACTGCTGTGTATACATCTCATGAATGAGACAGAAGAGAAACCACATGACTATTTTGTTAGATGCTGAAAGAATTCGGTAACTGTTGCAATGAAAACAATATAAAAATAGGAATAGAATCATCTTCCTTAACAAGGGAAAGACATATTCTAAACCACAGCCTCACTCTACTCCACTGTGAGTCATGACAGCAGTACCCCAGTCCCTGAAAAAGCGTTTCCCAGACTCAGTGAGATTGGAAGACTGCATACTGTCCTGTCTCAGAGTCACAGCACACAGTAGCATGTTAGTAGTGTATGTAAATCAATGACTGTAGTAACTGCCATTTGGGTTTAGTTTTTCTTTCTATTTTTGCATCAGAAGAGAGTCCTTACGCCTTTGACAGCACCCTAGAAGTGGCAGCTCTCACTCTTGCTAGGCTGTCAGTTGTGGTGTTGCCACACAGGCCCAGCGTCTCCCGTTCCCCTGGGCACCCCCCAGGAGGGAGGTGGCTGGACCGCCCTGTGTACCCATCTTCACTATGTGCTGAAGCCCAGCTAGGAAACACTGGTCAGGAGCTGGGCCTTATGGAGCCCATCAGATGGAGCCTAGACGGGGCCTGGAGAAACCAGCAGTTGTGATTTGCCCACATACCATTACGGTGCAAAAAATCTAAACTCAGCCACACTTAATCCCCAAGGACATGCTTCCTTCAATGAGTGATTCCCCTCAGGGGGCTGTGGGGCTGACCTCACATGAGAATTACAGGTAAGAGCTTTATTTCCACTATAGGTGGGCTGGGCCTGACCTAGGAATTCAGAACTGCCCAGCCACCTCCAAATTTCTGGTGCTGCACGTGGGGCTGACCTCACATGAGAATTACAGGTAAGAGCTTTATTTCCACTTTAGTTGGGCTGGGCCTGACCTAGGAATTCAGAACTGCCCAGCCACCTCCAAATTTCTGGTGCTGCAGTGAAAGAGGATTATAAGGAGCGTTGCTGGCTCCTGTTGCCCAATTCATGGTTCTGGGAAGCTCAGCCATCCCTTTAGAAAGCTCCTTTCCTCGGAATTGCAATGCAGAGGCATTCCATGGCTAAGCTGCAGGGGCTCCATCCAAAGTCTTCTAGGTCTCCCCCCACCCCATTACTAAATTTGAAATCTTAAAAAAAAAAAAAAAAAGCAAAAAGTAGAAAGGGGGAAGTTGAAATGCTTCATTCTCCATATCCTTACCTCCCAGAATGAATTCCTCTCTGCATACCCCCCCACCCCCCTCCAGGAGAGGCAGGAGCAGGATGGATCCTAGGCGAGATGCATGCTGTTCCCAGACCCACCTTTCCTCTCTGCTCTCTTCCCCACACTGCCTGACAAGTCTGTAAGCGACCAGACTTCAGTGGTGGGCAGGACTAAGGATTTTCACCCACCCTCCAAGATTCCAGGTATCAGTTAAAGTCAGTGAGTGAGAGTGGACCCTAAGGGGAGAAGAGGCCAGTGTGGTCTCTTCTTCTCACCAGAAGCCAAAGACACCTTGTTAGCTAGGTAAAAAGCCACGCACATGGTAAGCAACTAAAAATAGTAGCTAATACTAAAAGCCCTTACTATGAACGTATGTAGGTTTATACCTTGATATCCCCAGTACCAAGGCAGACAAACCCTCATGGAGCTCACAGTATATTGGGTGCCAGCTCATTGGCCATTACAACAGTGATTCTCAATGAGAGGCAATACTTTCCCCCCATCCCAGGAGACATTTGGCAGAGTCTAAAGACATTTTTTTTTCCTTTTTGTCTTTTTTGGTGTCCGGCAACGGA